CAGATTAGTAAACTGTGTTAACAATACGTAGGAAATAATCTTGCATGATAAAATATCTTCAACTACAGGTTTTTCATTTTTTGGTCAACTTCTGTTAAAGAAATGTGCACTAATAACGAAACATATTTCAACAACCTTTTTCTACGAGGTAACTGAGATTAAGATAAAAAAAAAACTTGTGGGTTTCCTGGTTTTTAGGTTTTTACTTACATTCAACTTTGAGTTGGCTAAGAATCTGGTAAGTTGTTTCAAACTTAATGTAATTAAATTATTTTATTTCACATATATTTTAAACCAGTTGTCACATAATAATTTTCAAATAACTAAAATGTTGCAATGATTAAGAAAGACAAGAAAAAGTTTGATCTAAACTAACCCTTACTTCTTAAGCTTCTCTTGTTTGGCTATTACACGACAGTCGAAACCAAAATAAGTGTCAAAAGTAGGTTTCATAATGTTGTTTTAAAAAATGTGATATTTAAGACAGCATTGTTGTTGTGCTTTTAACTTACAATTGTTTTTAAAAGTTGTGTTGTTGTTTCTCATTTTTTACAGGTGAAGATGAAAACTTGATCTATTTGAAGTTTTTCCAGCATTTTCGCTGCTATGATATCATTCCTATTAGTGCCAAGTTAGTTGTCTTTGACACCCAGTTGCTGGTAAGTTAGGAATTCGTCTGATAGATTGGTGTACAATTTTTTACCATTGTTGGAAAGAATTTTAAATACTGGATATATTTATTCTACCTTGAGTTTGTACTAGCAGTGAATGTCGTTGGAACGTTGGGATTATATCAGTAAACTGGATGTATTCTAGCTTTTGAGTTAATGTTAACAGTGAATGTCGTTGGAACGTTGGGATTATATCAGTAAACTGGATGTATTCTAGCTTTTGAGTTAATGTTAACAGTGAATGTCGTTGGAACGTTGGGATTATATCAGTAAACTGGATGTATTCTAGCTTTTCAATTAATGTTAACAGTGAATGTCGTTGGAACGTTGGGATTATATCAGTAAACTGGATGTATTCTAGCTTTTCAGTTAATGTTAACAGTGAAGGTTGGGAGATTTTAAGGAACTAAAACCATCTCATCGATGTCTTCTCATTACACCTAAAATACAACATTGAAGGTGTGGACTGTGATTCTGTCCATGGCCTTGGGTCATACTAGAATATAATAACACAGTACAGCATATACAGTGTTATGTGTTTACACAAATTGCTGAATCTTAGTCCAGAACATTTGATTTATTCATCTTTTTAAAACTATTTTTAACTTTGAAAATAAAAATAAAAGTTAAAACTTACATGTGAGGTATAAATTCATATTTGTTAAATGTTGAGAAAATAATACTGAAACATTTTCTATGTTAGGTGGTATATTTTAGACAGTATATGTACCCCCCCCCCCCAATAGGTATACTTACAAATTCTATATAAGTTTTAAAATTTTTTACAATTTTGTTATATTGATGCATTAATGGTAAGTGTATATTTATATATTTTGTAGAATTGAAATGTGATGATATTGGAGGGTCACTAGACCACAAACATGTTTGTTGTAATAAGAGTTTCTCTAAATATACACTG